TGTCATCTCCTCCGCATCTCGTCATTCAAAGGCTGTTTTCACAGCTTCTATCCCTCTGCTCTTTTATCTAGGTAACTGGTATTGCAATGCAATTTTTTTAACATACTTGTTAGATGTCGTCATGTGCAATACCAGATTAAACATTCTGAAAGTTCAAGTTTCCAGTTTAATTCCACATTCACTGTGACTGTGCAGTACAACAATATATTAAGTTTCTGAGGAGAATTTTTTTTAAGTGATCACAACACGGGCCACTTCAGGTTTCTTGTTGAGGATACAAAGTAGAACTTGGAGTGTGATGAAAAGTGGGATGGAAGGTTTTTTTAAACACTTTTATAATAATTGTAGAAATAGTGTAACACCTCTGACAGCAAAAGTTGTGTTGGCATTGTTTTTCACTAACAAGCCTCCAACCTAAATAACAATATACATTGCTTATCAGCAAGCCAGTGTTCATGGGTCAACCCGACCCATGAACACTGGCAGCGTAACCAAAGATGGGCACAACACCGGGGTTAAAATGCAACTCACAGGATAATTCTAGTGGGACGCTCCAAACAACTGTTATACTGACAAGCATACCAGACCTTTGTCATCATGGAAACAACAAATCATTAACACACAGTTATAATTACTACTTTTTTAGGTTTATGTTATGTCGCCTCTCACAGGGAAGTGAGAGAGAAACAGCCTGGACCCAGATGGCAGGTACGATACTGATCAACAGAACAGAAGAACAAATTATGGAGATCACAGTCAGTGAGGGGGTTGCAGCTGCAGAGCTGGAGACAGTGGCACAGGGCAGAAGAAGGCAGCGAAGAGGCACTGTGACAGGTGAGCATAGCCGGAAAACCCGGGTGTGGTGAGCTTAGATGGTTGGGCTCGGGGAAGATGGTTTGGAAAGATGACTGGCTCGTAAGATGCAGCCAAAGAATGAGAAGATAATCCTCAACATACTGGCAACGAGTGATCATGCACCAGTACCTTAATTATCGGTGTGGGTGATTAGGTGCCACAGCTGTGTCGCACCTTGGGGGATGCTGATAGAGGATGCGCCTCAGCTGCATGCACCACAGGAGCTGGGACCCATAACAGAAAACAAGAACGGGAGAGAGAAAAGAAAAAGGGAGAAAAAGAAGGGGAGAGAGGCAGGTCGCATTGAGCAACCCTGACAGTTTATGGACAAAACTTGATTAGATTTAGAAAAAAGTTGCGATTTGGATTAAAGAAAATGTTCACAAGTGAACACCACTTTTATTATTAGTGAAGCTATAAAAAAGCTACAGCATGATCCCATAACTTCAGGGTCATCGCCACAGCTTCCAACTTGTAATTTGATTTAGTGCGCTTACCTCTTCTACAAAATGGTTTCCTCTTAGGGTGATTGTGGCTGTGTCAGTTGGTTATAATAGGTTGCAGGCGCAAGTTTCAAAATAATGAGGCTGTAAAGGTGAATTAGGGAGTAGGTTAGTCACCATGTTCAGTGCAATAATGTAGATTGTTTATATTGTAAATATAATAATAAATGTGAATCCACTGTGTACTCGTATGCAACTTTATTAGCAGCTTCCTCGTAACATTGCGCCAACAACATAACATGAGTATAACATCAAAGTCTCTAGTAACATCCTCTCTGCCCCCTAAATAAATTATAAAAAAA